CAGTACCTTTCCTAAATGAATAACTGGTTTAAAGTGTAAACATATGGTGGAATAGGCACTAAACTAATCCTGCCGTGAATCTGTATTATGCTATGCTTCTCTAAATATTAAAATAATAATGAATAACAAATAGATCATAGGAAAAATCATGTGGGAAAGTAAGAAAATAGAGTACTTGGCAAATATATAAAGAATAAGAGGTGAAGAAATACATTTTATAAAAGAAATCTTGTGAAGACAGACAAAACCATTGAAAATTATGTTGAATACAGTATATAAAGACGCTGAATGAAGAAGAAACATTAGCCACCAATTAAAAATCCACTCATTTATGTTAAATAAATACTAAGTAACAATACCTCTCTGCATTCAATTTTTCCTTAACTCAAAAGTACCTTTTTATAAATAAGTATCACATTTTACACCTTATAATTCTAAAACTGTTTCAGTTTAATAGCATTCCATGAGATTTATCTCAAAGTTAATGCCTTCAGTTAACCCAGAAAACCCTTAGCCTTTACAACAATCATTGTAATACATAAGAAACTGCTTGCTTGCTCTTAAATTCAGAATATATTAACATAAAACTTTATGTGTGTTTCACTTTGGTCATTCTGGGGTTTTTTGTTTTGTTTTTGTTCATATTTTTAGGTTCCAGGGACTGAACTCAGGGCATTCACACTGAGCTAGGCCCCAACTCCTTTTTATGGTCTTTCTTTTGAGATAAGGTTTCACTCAGTTGCTGAATTGCTTAGGCTAGACTCAAACTTGAGATCCTCCTGCCTCACATTTCTAGAATGCTAAAATTATAGGCATGTGCCACCACATGTGGACTTGAACTTGGTTCATGACAGTGATCCCAGTGTGAAGGCATGCTTATATGCTATTCATATTGCCAAGAGACATTCAAGTCCGTTAATAATCTTATGGTTAGTCTCTCACTAAGGTAACTGTGAGATAATTGCCTTTTCAATCTATATACATTATTTGTTAAGAGTACTTGTGTCACTTTAGCATTAAACACAAACCTCTAACTCAAGATTTTTGGCTTGATAAAAGAAAAGGTGTCATCTTTTATATAAAAATTACATAAGTAATAGTAATAGTTTTAGAACATTGGTCAATAAATGGAAGGTGAACAGTAAGTGTTTCATAACTGGGTTTCCAAAATGACAACTTCTTGAAATATTAAGCCTTCTTGACCTAGAGGAAATTCAACATCAATGACATTAGGAAATCATCTATAAAGATGATGAATTGTTTGCATATTGTAACATGGAAATTAAAAGTATAATTCAACAAATACATTTTAAATTATTTGTGTTTAAAATTATCACGTTTATTTCTGACTTGGAAATTTAGCAAAATAAAGGGAAGGCAGATGATTTCTGTGAATTTGTCCACAGTTACTTGAGAAGAGTGGGGACATAAGGGTAACAAGTAAACCTAAGAATGTCAGTGTATTTGACCTCTATGATTAATATTGCAGCTTACCTAGCATTTGCAAAGCCCTGGGTTGATCCTCAGCACTGATAAAAAAAAAGGCAACACTAATATTGAAGCATTTTAAAGTACCCAGTCATATAGGTCAAAGAAAGTAATTCTTTGCCCCTGAATTTTCATTTCCTAGTTCAATATACAGCTGCAATTAATAGAATGCCTACATCAAAAGTGAGTGTGGGGGGCATTCATACCTATAATTCCAGCTCTCTAGGACATTGAAGTCAGAGACTCAAAAGTTCTATCACTATCTTGCCAACATATCAACTTAGCAAGACCCTTCTGAGGATTAAGGCCCTGGGTTCAGTCAAGAAGAGAGAGATACTGACAGAGAAAAGGAGGAGGAGAAGAAGGACAACGACAAAAGAAAGGAGAGAGGAAGGAAGACAAGAAGGGAAAGAAGGAAAAAGAGGTAGAAGAAAGGATATAGAATACCTCTACTAAATGTTAAGATTTGTTTATATCTTAGTGAATACTTTAAATGTATTTTTAAGTAGCATTTGACAAGATGGTTACATAAGTTAAATCTAAGAAAGAAATCTAAACCCAAACCTCAAATTTAGACTTACATTGCAAGAACGATCTGAATTTGCTTCAGCGTGTTCATTTCCTTCCGATGTGCCCAAACCTGGAGATAGACCTGGGCTGAAGGCCATGAGGTCCGTCTTGGGTGCACCCTCCCCAGAGCACACTCTCTGCCCCCTCTGCTGCGAGTATGACCAGCTCCCAACTTCACTCGAACACACCAACGTGGGCTTCCCAGGCCGGCCCACACCCTTCGTGGTTACAGTTGAGCAACGTAATGCCATGTACAGCAGCAGTGTAAGCACCAACAGACTGGATACCGCGCAGATGGCGATGATCAGGTATATGTTGATATCTATTAGCGTCACTTCTGGGCCTGAGTCCCCAGCCAATGCCCGCAAAGAAGCCTGTGGTGCTTGCCCACTTTCCACCAGAGACACTAACACGGTAGCGGTGGCTGTCAACACAGGCTCTCCATGGTCTTTCACAAGCACTAACAGGAGCTGGCGAGATGCATCGGACTCATCCAGGGCGCGTGTTGTACTGATCTCGCCTGTGTACAGACCCACTCGGAATGGGTTACGTGCGCCACCTTCAGCCGGCTGTAGCTCATAAGACAGCCACGCGTTGTAGCCAGAGTCTGCGTCCACTGCACGCAACTTCGTCACCACGTGGCCAGCACCCACTGACCGGGACACCAGCTCATTCACCATGTTGCTTGTACCACTTGCCCCAAGGCCCAGCAGCACAGGAGCATTGTCATTTTCATCCAGCACAAACACCTGCAGAGTCACATTGCTGCCCAGGGAAGGCACTCCAGAGTCTCGCGCGCTCACCTGGAACTGCAGCAGCTCCAGCTCCTCGTGGTCCAGCGGCTGCAGCGCGAACACCTTGCCGCTCTCCGCGTGCACAGACACGTAGCTCGACAGCGCGCGCTCGCCCACGCGCCACTCCACCAGCGAGTAGGACACCAGTGCGTTCTCCTGAGCGTCCGCGTCGCGCGCGCACACCGTGAAGATGTGGGAGCCCGGCGGGTTGTTCTCCTTCACGAACACCGTGTACTCGGGCTGCGCGAACACAGGCGCGTTGTCGTTCACGTCGGCCACCTCCACGGACACGGTGGCCGAGGCCGACAGTGAGGGCGATCCCCCATCCCGTGCAGTCACCACCACCTCATAATTTGATAAGGTTTCGCGGTCTAGGGCGCTATCCAGCACCAGCGAATAATAATTCTTGAAGGTGGACATCAGCTTAAAGGGGATGTGGTGTGACAGGGAACAGGTCACCTCCCCGTTAACACCTGAGTCAAGGTCGGACACCGAAATGACTGCAATGACGGTACTAAAAGGAGCATCCTCTCTGATTGGCAAAGACAGAGAAGTGATGGCTACTTCTGGGCCATTATCGTTTACATCCAACACTTTCACCAAAACTTTGCAGTGATTTGACATTGCAGGACTTCCTTTATCAACAGCCTTCACTTGAATTTCATACAATTTTGTTTCTTCATAATCCAAATTATCAATTAGCCTAATTTCTCCTGAGCTGGGATCAATTTTAAACTTTTCTTGAATGTTGGGAGAAACATCATTGCCAAAGGAAAAGACAACTTCCCCATTTACACCTCCATCTGCGTCCGAGGCATTTAATGTGATCACTGATGTTCCATTTACTGTAGTCTCTAATAAGTGTACCCTGTACAGTGCCTGGTCAAACATTGGGGGATTATCATTAACATCAAGCACTGAGATCAGCAGGTGAGCTGTATCTTCTAGCTCTGGTTTGCCCCCGTCTGTGGCTCTCAATAATAAACGAAATTCTGGTGTTTCTTCTCTATCCAAAGATTTCCTCAGTCTAAGCAAAAGAGATTTACTCAGTTCATCACTTCCCTGGACGTCCAAAGAAAAGTAATCATTAGGACTCAGGGTGTAAGTTAGAAGAGCATTGGCACCAATGTCCGAGTCAGCAGCGCCCTCTATCGGAAAACGTGAATCAAGCTGCCTATTTTCAGGAATAAATATTCTCTGTTCCCTACCTCTAAAGACCGGTGGATTATCGTTAATATCTTCTACCTTTACCTCCACATGGAAAACCTGCAGCGGTCTGTCCACGATCACCTCCAGGTGGATGCTGCACTCCGCGCTCCGCCCGCACAGCTCCTCCCGGTCGATCCGAGAATTCACAAACAAAATGCCATTCTGCAGATTTACCTCCAGAAGGTCCCCACGCTCCTTTGACGCCACCCGGAACAGGCGCGGCACCAGCTCCGCCAGCTCCAGCCCCAGGTCCTGCGCGATGCGGCCCACGAAGGTGCCGTGTTTGGCCTCCTCGGGGACCGAGTAGTGCAGCTGGCCGCTCCCCGCCTGCCAGGCTGCAAAGAGGAGAAGCGAGAGCGGCAAGCTCCTGGCTGTCAGACCTCCTTCCCTGGTAAACAGCATCGCAAACACCCACCTTTCTACCGCTCTCGCTTCACTTCAGAATCATGCTTATTTACTTCATATTTCCAAACATTTATCTCCTTACCATTGTCGTCTTCTCTTTGGTTGTGACAAAATGGAGCTTCTTTCTTTAGTTTGTGGTAACTGGAGTCTCACTTCCTTAAGATTGTGTGGTGTACAGCGACATCATGTGGCTAATGTGGATTTTAGTTGAATTGTTTTTTAAGGGAGGTTTATTTTTTTTTGTTTTTGGTGCTGAGGACTGAACCCAAGGCTTCCAGCTTGCTAGGCAAGCATTCTACCACTGAAACAAATCCCCAGCCCCTTAATGTGAATTTTGACCCCCTTGTTAATCCTTCAAAATCATAGTTTCTATATTCATTTGCAATGTACTAAATGTAAGGATTTTCCATTTATGTGATTTTCAAAACCCAGGACATTTCAAATCTCATTTGAGACTATGTCCTTCAATATTTCCCTTTAACTATTATCACAGAGGTATTACAATTGAATTTGAGAAAATTTAGCATATGCTAAGCTTCCCATTATATCTTTATATTTAAATGACTTATCATCTCACATATTTTTATTATTAAATTCTTATAACTATATGCTCAAATTTTAAGATAATGAGCTTTGACCATTAATATTGACCTTTTTCTAGTACAGGTTGGGTATTTATTTTAAATAATGTAAGTATGTGTATATTTATAGTTACTAAGTATGTATATATAACTTTTTAAGAAATTTTTCTAGAATATACTTAAAGGTTCTTTGGTGTTGGAAGAACTACATTATTTTTGATACTTTACATGTTTGAATGAAGATATTTGTGGATTCCTTTTATTTCTTGCTACATAAACAACCTAAATCTTAAGCTTTGTAAATTTGGCCTTCAGAAGTCATTATTCTAAACTGAATTCATGTGCCTTTGATCTTTATTTCTACACCAAGTTTACAACCCACATTTTTTTTCTTTACTTTGTAAGGTCAACAATATCATCTTTCAACCAAAAAAAATGAAATCAGATTACTATCAAGTATGCATAAATATAATAGTCTGCAGTGAAAATGAAAAATATAAATCAAGTGCTAAGATTTTTTAAAGGATAAAGTCACAATAAATAATTAATAAAACTTCCTTTAAGTTTCAGTAAAATTTATATTGGGAGTTCAATATGTAAAGTTTAACTAAAAATATGTGGTCATGACAAACTATTACCCACATTTAAAAATAATGAACTTAGTGTTTCTACAAGAAGTACTACAAATATTTAAAGATGTTAATAGAAGTAAAGATTATTTAATGCATATACTTTCACAATCAGAAAATCCAAATTCTGTATTTGATAATTAAAATGTAAATGAAGTAGGGGCCTACTTTATTTGTGTCAGTATATACATTTTAAGAGTCATTCAATATATTTACTCTGTTATGAAAAGTTCAGCAACATAAGATACATATTTCAAAAATGAAGCAATGTCAGAATTGAATATTTCTTTAAAATATAAGTAGATTTATACCACAATGTCACATTTTAATGTTCAAAGTACTTTGAGTTTTTAATAAATTTTAGGACCTAAAAAAATTTTTAAAAAATAAATTTTAGGACCTCAAGGAAATGGTACACTGCTCAAGTTCCTATTCCCAGGTTCAAATGGAAGAAACCCAGTAACTCAAAAACACCATCAAATACAGATGAGTACATATCAGAAAGATTTTACACAGCAAAAAAAAACTACCAAAAGAGTGAAGAGAAACCCATAAAATGAGAAAAAAGTCTATGAGCAAAAGACTCAGGCAAAAGACTAATATCTAGAATGAAAAACTCAAAAGAAACCAAACCCCAAATTTAAAACAGACATCTTAAATGAATACATTCTTCTCAGATAATGAAAGAGAAATGGTAAATTAAAAATATTTGAAAATATTCAGCATCATTGGTTATTTGAGAGATCCAAATTTTTTTGTTTGTTTGTTTTAGGGAAGGGTCTAAGAATGCTCAAGGTCTCACTGCTAGATTGGTTCATAGTGATCCACCTGTTTAGAGCTTCCCAAGAGCTGGGATTACAGGTGCACCCCACCAAGCCCAGTCTCAATTGCCATTTCAGTGCACCCCTGGGGCGGGGCTGGCACCGCAGGCCTGGGGATCGAACCCCCAGCCCCTGAGCCTGCTTGCAGGCGCTTTAATCCACTGAGCTATCTGGTTGGCCCTGGAGATCTAAATTAAAACAACACTGAAATTCCATCTCACTCCAAAAAGAATAGCTATTCTTAAGAAATCAATCAATAACAAATGCTGGTGTGAATGTGAGAGAAAAGGAACAGTTCTCTACTGTTGGTGGGAGTGTAGACTGGTGCAACCAATGTAGAAATCACCTCAAAAAAACTAGGATTAGAGGTCCTATTTGACTCAGCTATTCCCCTTCTTGGTATCTTCCCAAAAGAATTAAAAAGATCATATTACAGGGATATGCACACACCCCTGTTTATAGCAACACAATTTTTAATGGCTAAATCTTGATGTCTCTGAAAGCCTGCAGAGAAACACTGGCTTCTAACTAGTTCTTCTACCTCTACTAGTCAGTAGGAAGGCAGTACCCAACCTCTCTGTTAAGAGAGCAGTATGGGAGATGAAACTAGCCAAAATATATACTTTAAGTGAATTCAGCATCTCAGAACTTAATATAAATATTTCCAAGTTTTAACAACACAAAGCACTCATCATACTAAGAACCAAGAAGATTACAAATTGAATTTTTAAAATATCTACAGTAGTCCCCACTTATCTGTAGTTTTGTGTTCCATGATTTCACTTAGCCATAGATAAATGCAGTCTGAAAACATTAATGGAAAATTCTATAAAGGATCAATTCACAATTATTCTGAGTAACATGGTAATCTTTACTAACTCTATCTCGTTCTTCCAATAATGTGAATCAGCCCCCTTTCCAGCATACTCCCACTGTGTATGGTACTCACCCATTAGCCATGTAGAAGCCAATTTGGTTACCAATATTGTTTTATTATTGCAGTTCTTCTGCTCAAAGAATCTTTCCTTTACTTAATAAATCTCCCCAAGTGTGAGTATAGGTGCCATGTAGAGCTCAGTAGTAGAACAATTGACTAGAGAATATAAGGCTGTAGGTTTAATCCACAAAACCTAACTTGCAAGAGTAATATTTTGAAAATTCAGGTATGCCAAAGCAAGGCTATAAGTTTCTTCCCTTAAAGGAAGACATTGAAGTTCTTAATTAATAAATAAATATTATATGCTGATGGCATAAGTTCTATAGAATGATTTTTTGTCTTTTTGAGAAAAGTTCTTGCTATGCAGTTTAGCCTGATCTTCAACTCACTATATATCCCAGGCTGGCCTTGAACTTGTAGTGATCCTCCTGCCTCAGCCTCCTGAGGGTTGTGGTTACATGTGTACACCACCATATCCAGATAGAATAATTATTTATACTAAATAAAGAAAATATGCACGTAAGTTTTGTGATATTATGTTGTTATGCTTTCATTTTATTGTTAGATTTTATTAATCTTTTAATGTGCCCGATTTATAAATTAAACTTTAGAATAGGCATGTACGCATAAGAAAATCCTAGTTCATAATAGGGTTCTGTCTATCCAGTTTGAGATATCCACTGGGAATTACAACATGAGCCCAGTGGATAACAGGGAGTTGTAATGTAAGTTGTAATGAAGTAACAGAGATTTTAGAATTCTCCGACAAAGATTTATGCAACTATGCCATTACCTAGATTTTCTACTTTTTTTCATGCATATTTGCAATTTCAGTAGTAAGTTTCATCAATGAAATAGAAATTCTCAGCAAAGACATAGATGAGGGACCAGGCAGATGACTCAGTGGAATAAGCGCTTCACTGGCAAGTGCAAGGGCCTGAGTTCAACCCCCGGTTCTGCAAAAAAAAAAAAAAAAGACATAGATAATAAAAAGAACTAAAAATCCAATAGGAAAGATAAATTCTAAGTAGCATTATAGGGTGATTCTAAAAGAGAATGAGTAAGTCAATCAATAGAAAATAGAGCTTTCCCAAAAACAGAACTTTCTCATGAACAAATGAGAGAAAGCAGACTAACTGAATAAAGAACTCTAGGAACATGTAGGGCTATAACAAAAGATATAGCATTCTTGTACTTGTAGTCCTGAAAGGAGAGGAAAAACAAAAGAAGGCTGATAACATTCTCAAAGAAATAGAAAGTAAAAATTTCCCAAATTTGGCAAGCAACATGAGAGCTGAGTAAACTCCAAAGAAAATAAGACCATAGAGTCCATATTAAGACATATGATAAGCAAACTAAAAATTAAAGGCAAAGAAAAAAATCTTGAGAAGAGAAGGAGAGCAAGAATACCTTACCTGAAGATGGAGAAAGTAACTTTAGTTAGAGTGAATTTCCCTTGATAAACTAGGAAAGCCAGAAAGAAGTATCACAATATTTTTAAAGTTCTGAATGAAAAAACAGTGAACTCCAAAGTCTAGGTCCAGTATGAGTACCCTTTGAAAATAAAGAGAAAACAAGAAATTTTCACATGAAAAACAATTAAAATAACTTTTTACTATCATAGCAAAACTGACAGAATCAGCTAAGTTTCTGTAAACAAAAAGAAAATAATAAAAGAAGATATCTTGGAGAATCAAGGATTTAAAAAGAATTTAGTGGGCCAGGGAGGTGGCTCAGTGGAATAAGTGCTTCCCTGGCAAGCGCAAAGGCATGAGTTCAATCCCTGGTTCCACTAAAAAAATAAAAAATAAAATAAAATAAAGAAGTACATTTCTAAAAAAAATAAAAAGAATTTAGTAAGCATAAGTGGGTAAATACATTACAGTTTTCTTGAGTATTCTAAATTATGTTTGATAGCTAAATCAATAGCTATAACAGTGTTGCACAGGAAATACTTTAAAACAATTAAAACCATGAAAGTATATAATGACAAAAAGATAACTATTCTAAATTTCACTTAATCTAGTTAAATAATAACAGG